ACAAAGTTAAGTTGTAAGACCTAAGCTATCGAGCCCCATGAAACGTCAGTTGTATACATAAACACCCATTTTCTAGATTTATTCAGGTGTTATAAGTTAAACATTACGCTCTAGTACAGCAATAGTTGGTTGGATTAACATGCTTCAAATGAGATTCCTTTCCATATTTCAAAAACACCAGGTCATTATATTCACTGAAGTGACTCGTCACTGTTTAGATACTCCCCCCCCCGAAAAAAAAACAAATGCAACCTTTTCATCTTCAATTAAAATATTGCAGGTTTATCACATACCAATACCAGGATTAACACTTACCAATACCAGGATTATCACATACCAATACCAGGATTAACACTTACCAATACCAGGATTAACACTTACCAATACCAGGATTAACACTTACCAATACCAGGATTAACACTTACCAATACCAGGATTATCACATACCAATACCAGGATTAACACTTACCAATACCAGGATTAACACTTACCAATACCAGGATTAACACTTACCAATACCAGGATTAACACTTACCAATATTACAAGTCCTCTTATAACGCTTCTAACAAACTGGTTAATATAAAATATTTTAGATTAACACTTACCATTATTACAAGTCCTCTCACAACGCTTCTAACAAACTGTTAATATAAAATATTTCAGATTAACACCTACCATTATTACAAGTCCTCTTATAACGCTTCTAACAAACTGGTTAATATAAAATATTTTAGATTAACACTTACAATTATTACAAGTCCTCTCACAACGCTTCTAACAAACTGGTTAATTTAGAATATTTCAGATTAACACTTACCATTACCACGAGTCCTCTCACAACGCTTCTAACAAACTGGTTAATATAAAATATTCCAAATTAACACTTACCCTTACCACAAGGTCATTCATAACGCTTCTAACAAACTACTTACCGTAAATCACTTCACAAAGAGTGTTTGATGTGGTTTTATAAAATAGGTCCAATATTTTATTTGCATAATGTCCCTGACATGTTTGAGCTAGTTTTACGAAATGTGTCCAGTATGTCATTTGCATAACGTCCCTGACAGAGTTTCTTTTAAGACAGTTCAGTACGTCATTTGTATAACACCCTTACTAGGTTTGAGCTGATTCTACGAGAGTTTAGTATTTCATTTGCAAAATATAATTCGAAAGCTAAAAATCCATTTGATTTGTTTTTGTTAGATTTCGCGCAAAGCTATCTGGAGTAGCCGTCCCTAATTTTGAAATGATTACCACAGGAAAGGCAACCCACCCCCAAATCGTAGGCTACTCTTTAGCAACCAATATTGGGATTGACTGTCACATTATAATGCCCTCGTGGCTTAAAGGGCGAGCTTGTTCAGTGATGGGTTTTGATCTCGCGACCTCCTGATTACGAGTCGAGTGCCCTAACCACCAGGCCATTGCAGGGAAGAGATCCGTTTGAAAAGCGACCACTTTGTAATGATATTTCTATTTCGAACTGAGAATTGCTACGTCATTTAGTGAACTTTAATGAGAGGATATACTTATCATTTGCTTCGAAATGACTAGTCGAAATAATGTAGATTCACTACGTAGGAAAACACGCTCTAGGCCTGTACGCAGGTGTAGTTTAAACAAATTCACTTGCATAATAATAATACAGTTGAATGACGTAGCTGTAACCGAAATATGTGAGTAAAACAAAATCGATATGAGAATACATTAACAACTGAAGGTACATTCGCGTTAAGAGCCGAGCTTGCGTTAAACATAAATTCCAACTTATATGAACAATAAAATTCTTTACTGCACGACACTATTAACCATATGATTTTTCAATGCGTTTAGTACCTTATATTTATTTAAAGCTAACTAACTTATACGTGATAAGTCAAATTTCGATAATTTTCTAACACACTGCTTTCTTGGGAACAAATTTATGATTGGAAGTAGAATATTACATCTTTGTTGTTGTTGTTGTTGTTTTACTCTGCACCTATTAAAGTAGCAAGTTATTTTTCTATAGTTTTTGGCCTGACTCTTTGGCCTAATGCGCATAAGATGCCATACAGATTGAAATTCCTGTTACAGTTATTGATAAAAAAAAGTGGTTTGCTAGGCGCAATAAAGCACTGTCCACAACACAAATGTGTATGATTTGTATACAACATTTCATATGGAGTAACCTACACCACTTTTGTTTTTACTGTTCAGTAAGAAACTAAATGTTTTTTTTTTAAGTATTATTTTCAAAGTAAAAGGAAATTTGGGGTTTTACTTCAAAACATATATTCTCTGATAATGTCTTTCAAATGATCGGTAATAACAAGCAGGTATGTAAGACTGTACATAGGTGTATCGCACGTGTTTAATTGTTCCCACAGGCACACCACGAGGGTGTCACGCTGACTCATTAATCTCATTGAATGACTTAACATTAATTTCCTCTCTGTCATGTTTAGAGGCATTGTGCCATAAGCTACAACCATCCTTTTCCTGCATGTTTATTGTGACATTTTCGTTTTGAAGATGAAAGCTTGCACTTCGTTCAGTAAGATCTACAAATAAACCTTGCATTAAATCTGTTCATCCTAAATCTCTGACACTCGTCGTAATCAAAGTTCTATAGCGTTAAGAAATACTGTGTGCAGTATATATATTTATAGGTATCTGGAAGCTTTACTATACTGAGGTAAGAATGCGAGGAAATGTGTGTCTAGTTTGAATTATTTATCGAACATAATGTTTTTATTCTTCGTGTAATGAATTATTTACAATTTATAATCACACTTTTAGGCTATGTTAACTTAATATCTGTGTATAATAGTGCAAATTCATAAACAGAGAGGCGAACAAACACAAACAAACTAGTTGGAACAAATGTATGTTTTAAAGGATTGATTTATTTAGTAAAATACTGTTTGGGCTTTAAACGTAATGAGTTATTAATATTCATAACGGCAAGGAAATCTATTTTCTCTCTATTACTACACGATAGTCAATCTTATTTTGTGTATTTTAATGTTATTTAAATTGTGTGCAACGTTCTAACATCTTTTCAAAATATTGTTCTATTAACATCGATATTACATCTCTAAGCAACAAAATAAAAGCAAGTGAAAAACGAGTGCTGAGTTTCGTTATTCAATTGTATCCACCTGACGATACTAAATAAATCTAGCGAAACGTAATGTTTTTTTAATGAAATGAAAAATAAACTTTAATAACAAAATTACTTGTTTTATCCGTAAATAAAACCTTAATTTTCATGTTACAATTTCATCTTACAATATCCAATTATAACAGATGAATAGAATTATTGTTGTTGTTCTTAACCAGTGATGTGTTAATTCTATATTTAAACGATACTAGTCTTTTACTATAAACAATGTATTATTGTTGTTGTTCTTAACCAGTGATGTGTTAATTCTATATTTAAACAATATTAGTCTTTTACTATAACCGTTGTATTATTGTTGTTGTTCTTAACCAGTGATGTGCTTACAACGAACTCAATTGTTTCCAATGAATGTTTGATCATTAAAATGGTAATCTTTATTATAAGTATTGTTATATTTTTCGTCCTTTTAGTCATTGCTCTAGTACTTTCAGAATATGAATATTATATTACAGACGCTATTTCTATTGTTTAAAAATCTAACTAGTATCAAACTTTAATTATTCTTGTGTTTTGATTCATGTTATATTATTCGATCCAACGTTTTGCCATTGCAGCTACATTATGTCTTCACAGAGAGACATACTGTTTTTTCACTTGTTTTTGTCTTTCTTCTTCAAATACTTTTCAGTCGACTGCTATTCCTTCATTTCTCGGTGGATTGACTTGAAACTTGGCATGGTTATACCTTAGTGCAATACACCTAGATAACATTTTCTGTCTTATTATTAATCTTTTTTACTTAGGCTTTGATAAGAGTTTTATGTGGTCAAAGGTAAAACCACCCAAAAATGTATATTTTGGGCTCCTATGCGGTCATATTTACAGCAATCAAGATGTAAACTCGTACAAATTCAAAACTTTTATTACTCCTAACACATTTACATATTAAAAAAGTTGCACATATTAAGTATTTTTATGGGGGTCAGAACTAACAAAAGAGCATAATTTTGGGGGGTTTGGTCAATTACTCGGCTTTATTTTGACCAATTCACACGGGATTTGGCACAAAGATATTTTTTTACAGTTCCCACAGAATGACAAACAAAAATGGTGGATTTGCCAATTTTTGTAAATATAAGGGGGGCAAAGATGCCACAAAAAGCATAATTTTAGGGTTTTTCTACTACTACTCCGCCGTGTTTCGGCCGATTTACATGGCATTTGGTACAAAGTCTCATACACGTATATATATACAAAAATGTGGGATGTGCCCATTCTTGGTCATTTTAGGGGGTCAAAAGGTCACAAAAAGCACAATTTTAGGAGTTTGGGTTTATTTCTTGGCCATATTTTGACCAATTTACGTGAGATTTACTATAGACACACGCTTTGCCGGTACCAAACAGAGTTATTGACAATTTTTGCATTTTTCTACATTTTTCAGCGAGAAAAACACAATTTGGGATTTTCATGAACTATTCATATGTATGTCAACCAACTTACAGGGGTTTTGGTATAAAGATACCTTCTGGCGGGCCCCAGGCAGTCATATAGGCAGTTTTCGACTTTTCTGTGTTTTCCATGATTTTTCTGGTGTCAAAACTGGCCATGTTGCAACCCCCTCGCGAATATTGGGCTCTTTAATTAGGGCTAGTATTACAAGGACCGCAACGTTCTATGATTTCAGTATTTTAGTATGACATACTGTCATTATTGTTAATTTAAGAAGGAAATATTCATTATTTCCTTTCACTCTGTTATTGCATCGTGAATATTGTTCTTAGTTCACTTTGTATCTAATGTTTTGTTATTACTCAAATTCAATACTTAATTCCAGAATAAATATATTATATTATATATTTATATAGCAGACGGTTTTAATATTTTAAGATTTTTACTGATCTGGGAAAAGGAGTGAGATTTCCAGCCCATAGCGATAGGACAGAGTCTATAAAACCTACGGCAATATTTTATTTTGGTAAGTAATTACTACTAGTATGCTTAGAACACTTTATATTAAAATCAGCTTTGGACTGTTACTTGTGATGCATTAACTTATAAATAGACTCAAATTTCCCCGCTCTGAATACAAATTAGTTAGCTATTTGGAAAGACGTATGTGTAGATAGATAGACGTTCCCTATTAATTTTAATAGTTTAGAAAAGCTTGAAGTAATATACTTAGCTACACACTATTTTACTGTTGTTTAAATGGACTATATCATAACATACTTTTCTAATTACTATATATGTTGCTCCCCAGTGGGCACGGTGGATGTCTGCGGACTTATAGCGCTAGAAACCGGGTTTCGATACCCGTGGTGGGCAGAGCACAGATAGCCCATTGTGTAGCTTTGTGCTTAACTACAAACAAACTATATCTGTTTTTTCCGAACTTACAATGTAAAAGCCGGGTTCAATTTCCTCGCCTTTGACCGAAAGCAAATAGCCAATGTGTAGCTTTGCGCTAAACAACAAACAAGAACACAATATATTTGTTGGTTTAAATCATTTCAAGAAGTACGATAGTTACATCAAAGCTTCTGTAAAAAATCTCACTCACCCAATGAAACAGAACGTTAAAAAATGCAGTACAGAAACAAAGAATAAGATTATTCTAAGTTTCAATTCGATTGGCAGACTCAAGATCACACCAAAATTCTATCTTTACTAATAAACGAATGTTGTGACTTTCAATAGCTAAATCGGCTAAGTATATTTGTTTGTTATTTCTTTTTAGAATTTTTGCACAAAGCTACTCAAAGAACTACCCGCTCAGAGTCTCTCTAACTTTGGACTGCTGGACTGGGGGGAGGAGGGGAGAGGTAGCTATTAATAATTGCAAATTCTGGGGCTATTCTTGTCTGCCTGATTAGTGTGATTTGATCATCGTTTGTATAACCCACTCATGGACTCAAAGTGCGAAACGTGTTTTGGAGCAAAAGACACTAACTTCGAATCCTCGGATTCACAGTCTGGGCCCGATAACCACTAGATCAAACTAGGTCCACTTGGCACGATAAGCAGACTTACGGGTTCAAATATCTATCAACCCGTCTCAATTTTCACTTCTTCGGGAAATTTAAAATCGCGAGACAGTATAGCACTAAGTACAGTAAATGACATGTGTTTGAAAAAAAAGCAAAGTTTGGCGGTGTTTTTTTTTAATTTATGCCCCAAATGTCACATTATTTAAATAACCGTGTTATGTTCCAGTATAATAGTTTACATTTTAGTTGAATAATATTTATTATAAAGAAGATGTCTAACCGACAAATAACTATAGCGTACAATTTTGTAATTACTGATTCATTAAACAAACAAGAAACAGTAAAAAAAACTTCACGTGACATATTTTTAAAAAATGTTGAAAACAATTAGACTTTTTAAATTTGTCTAAAACCTGTAAAGAACTTACTTTTATTTTCAAATGAGCTAAATTCTTTACCTGCTACAGCGGTAAGTCTACGGATTTACAACGCTAAAATCTGGGGTTCGATTCCCCGCGGTGAATACAATAGACAGGCCAACGTGGATTTACTGAGCTTGTTTAAAGTTGCCAAATTTTTATCTATTTACTTGTTTGTGTATATACATTAGATAGGAATTGCGTCTGTTTAGGAATGTAATTAATTTATTAACTTATTGAGATTGCTTTCCAATGACTTTTTCAACATGTTACGTATGGAACAAAACAATGTGGCCACCATGTTCTTGTTTAGCTTAGGCAGTGTTGTAAAGTTTTTGTTGTCATATTCAAGTTTCATTAGTTTTACATTGGACGCTAACTCCCTTATTCTTTGAATTGGCAGAGGGTTGCGACCCACATCTATGTGAACATCCTCCTGAAGCTACAGACTTATATCACTATAACCAAGAAAGGTTCCCAAACACATCCATCCATTGTCTCCAGTCGAGCAGAGAGTGTTTAGAATCAAGTTCTGATACTCCACAGTCAGTGTTAGATTCTGAGCCCTATCCAACAATATACAACACAACCTCCTTTGATATCTGTTTGTCCGAAGAGGATAGAAGCTACGTTTTGGACTACAGCCAAGAAGAACTTACAAAGGTTATTTTATCGCGAGAAGATAGACGTGGTTATCTTGGAAACGAGGACATCGGGCTTCATAATAAGAATTCATTGTTAGATCTCAACAGTAAAATCTTAATTTCGTCACTAAACTGCTCATCAAAGAATGATTTGGCATCAGTAGGTCTAATAACAGTCATGGCTGATACAAATAGTACTTCATCGTCAGCCACAACGACGCTATTTCCTGAATTACCAGTAGGTGACGAACAGTCAAATACCAGATACAAACATTGTTACACCACAGACTTCAGTAAAAGTTGTAAGGACAGACACCATTGTACTAAAGCATCCTGTAGTCCTAACGGAGGATCTGGTTGTAACAAGTCTTCATTATTAACTGACGAATGGTTGCACAGTGAGTATGGTTCTATTGAAACCGATGACGTAACGAAAAGAGAAAATACAGCGGACTATGCTACGTCACTTGGGCTAGAACGTCGAAACAAGAGTAATATGTTTGAAAAAATTCGTAATTTAACAGTAAGTAATGTGAAACTATTTAACAATAAGTAATGTGAAATTATTTAATAGTAAGTATTGTGAAATTATTTAACAGTAAGTATTGTGAAATTATTTAACAATAAGTAATGTGAAATTATTTAACAGTAAGTATTGTGAAATTATTTAACAATAAGTAACGTGAAATTATTTAATAGTAAGTATTGTGAAATTATTTAACAATAAGTAATGTGAAATTATTTAACAGTAAGTATTGTGAAATTATTTAACAATAAGTAATGTGAAATTATTTAACAGTAAGTATTGTGAAATTATTTAACAATAAGTAATGTGAAATTATTTAACAGTAAGTACTGTGAAATTATTTAACAATAAGTAATGTGAAACTATTTAACAATAAGTAATGTGAAATTATTTAACAGTAAGTAATGTGAAATTGCAATTTTCGCTGATTTGCCATTGCCCCTAATTAAGGCCCCTCTCTTATTATCGCCCCCTCGGCATTTTTATAAAGCTTATCTTGTGTCACAGCAATAATAATTCAACATATAATCCACTTTTATTACCGTACTTTTGATTTGAAAAAAAAAAGAAAAACAAACACACACACACACTTATTAACCTTGAAATCAACAAATCACATGTGAAAATTAGCGTTCCCCTTTTGCAGTTTGCAACACCTTCGGATCATGTTGGTAAGTAAGGCTGTAAGTTCGGATCATATTCATGAGGAAGGATAAAGGTTCAAATCATGATCGTAAGGGAAAAATATAACTTGGAAACAATTAAAATTGAGAGCATTGCTTTGAATCATATTTAGATTTAAGGACGAAGGTTAGATTCACATTTATCGGTAGGAATGTGAGCTCGAATCGTGTTTATATTTAAAGATTTAGGTTCGAAATATGTTCAGAAGTAAGGATGTAGGTTTGAAGCATGTTCGTAAGTAATGATACAGATTGGAATTATGTATGGAGATATGTGTGGTTTTCTGTAAGGATGTAGGTTTGAAGCATGTTCGTAAGTAATGATACAGATTGGAATTATGTAGGGAGGTATGTGTGGTTTTCTGTAAGGATGTAGGTTTGAAGCATGTTCGTAAGTAATGATACAGATTGGAATTATGTAGGGAGGTATGTGTGGTTTTCTGTAAGGATTTAGGTTTGAAGCATGTTCGTAAGTAATGATACAGATTGGAATTATGTAGGGAGGTATGTGTGGTTTTCTGTAAGGATGTAGGTTTGAAGCATGTTCGTAAGTAATGATACAGATTGAAGTTATATAGGGATGTATGTGTGGTATTCTCTAAGGATGTGGGTTTGAAGCGTTTTCGTAGGTAGTGATGCAGGTTTAAATCTTGTAAGGATGTATGTGCAGTATTCTGAAAGGATGTAGGTTTGAAACATGTTCGTAAGTAGTGATGCTAGTTGGAATCATGTATGGATGTATGTGTGGTATTCTAATCTAAAATTTGAACCAACAAGTAAGTTATTAAGCCACAATAACAAGAGATTCAAAGAAACACAAAGATATATGTGCTAAACATAAATCAGTTGCTAAATGGTGTTCTGCTTAATACTGTAGCCGTATATTTTGTTATTTAAGATAGTAATAGGAACACGAAATTTAGTATTTCTTAATGTTTTGAAGCTATTCATGTAAAAACCGATAAGTGTGTGATTTTTAAGCGCTAATTACCAACATCTTAATATTTTTTCTTTTTACATCTTAATGTTATATAATTACCAAAATTAACATACAAACACTTAATGTTTTTTATAGGTTCGATTTTATCATTTTTTTTTAATTATTCAGTTTAACTAAAGTGTCTAAAAACACAAGTTTGGAGCCTTACTAATCGTCACATTTAGTGTTGAGATTATCGATAAAGCGTATTCAGAATCCCAAGCCCCCAGTGGCAAAGCAGTATGTCTGGGGACTTACAACGCTAGAAACCAAATTTCGATACCCGTGGTGAGATAGCTCATTGAGAAGGTTTGTGCTTAACGTCAAAACAAACAGAATCCTAAAACGTAATAAAAACGTCATTATCAACAACCTGTGATAAAAGAAAGATCCAGCATTCCTCCAAGCATTGCTTTTCGTGAAACGAATATAGAATACTAACCGTTGAAGGAACGGGACTAGTTGCGGATCTGTAGTTACTCCACGTAGAATGTTGTCGAACCGGAAATGTGACTCTTGGTAAGAAAGATCGCGTATTCAAAAAACGCATGCCTAGAAACTGCCTATCGTTTTCATCGTCAAAGACTGCTTAATGTTTAGCTAAAGGAACGTTTGATTGTAAAGATACTACAGTAAATATAGCAAAGTGAACCTTCTTACCAGACGAATCATATGAGAAATTTCAATACTAAATCTTCTTTAAGAAAGATCTGGTGTGAAATGTTATCTACGGAGGTAACGTAAACAATAAAAACAAAACCCCATTTCTGGTAAAAATAGCTTATTGACGACTTAATAAAATTATGTACACGGGCGTAACTTTGGTTCTAAAAGTAGGAGAGACAGAGGATGGTTTATACGTACACTGCAAGAACATACTTTATAACCCAATATGTTGAAATATCAAAGGGACAATCTTCAGAATATGTAAAAATCTATAAATGTCACCCACCCACCCTCGTTTAAATGATACCAAGAGTTATGTCAAGTAACCTTTTGTAAGATTTTGGATTTCGCCATCCCTAGATAGACTAGATGGAAGGCAGATAGTCAATACCACCCACCGCCAACTCTTGGAATACTCTTTTACCAACGAACAGTGGGGGTAGATTGGCCGTACAATTATAACGCCCCCACGGCTGAAAGGGCGAGCATGTTCAATGACGGGGATTCGAACACGCGACCTTCGGATTGCGAGTCGAGCGCCCTAACCACCCTACTGATGATGACAAAACCTTGTCGAAACGTTGTACATTTGCTGTTATGTTAAACTTATATCAAAGTTTTTCTTCATTACCCATTCAAGCCATCTCCAACCATTATTAGTCTCAAAATGGGTTCCTCGTCATCGAATTTGAACTCATTATGTAGCTTTGCGCTAAAAACAAACAAACGAAAAACAGTTAATCCCTTTATAACAGATAGGTTAACAACAAGTTTTGAAATAAATTACCTATTTTCATGCTATTCATTGTGTACTTGAAATTGGTCCACAATTAGTTAGTTTTCTTTTGTTTACTAACTTAGTTCATGATCTTCTTTCTTGTTACTTACGGCTCTACAAGAAGTGTTTAATATTTTTACATTCCATTTTAAATGAGCCCAGTTTGGTTTAAAGTACAGTTTAAAAGTTATTATGCATGAGATGAAAAAAATCAACATTTCACTTGATTTTGATGGGGGTGGTGGGGGAGAAAGAGTAAACATTCCCCTTGAATTGTTGTTGATTATTTCAACAGACATTCCGCTGCGTCACTGGAGTGTACGTTACAACGCTAGAAACTGGCTTTCGACACTCGTGGTGGGCAGAGCACAGAGAGCCCTTTGTGTAGCTTTGTGCTTAACTACAAACAAACTTTTAACGTATTTTAATAAATTAAGTTTTGTCAGTTTTATCACTTTGAAAGCTTAAATTAAGATACTCATATACCAAACCATACCTGAATAATTTAATAGATAGTAACTACTTTATTTTCCGGCTTAATGGAATGAGTAAATTACAGTTTCTTTATTTTTGAGACAGAATCGAGTTTCTTCTAGCACTGGCGAAGATGACCGTTCACAATCTTCAGATTGTAAAGAAACAGAAGAATTGGATAAGGTATGTATTGCATGAAAAGTTACTGTTTAGTTTAATTTATTTCTGGATTGAAAATGTCAGTAAACCGGAAAAAGTGATGTATTTGGTTATAATGATAATTATGTTCATGTAGGTTGAAAAATATTAATAATAAGGATTAGCAATGTATTAGGTTGTAGTGATTATTATGTCCGTGTTGGTTGAGAAATATCAGTAAATCAGGAACAAAGTTATATTGGATTATAATGATACTTATATACATGTTGGTTGAGAAATATCAATAAATCAGGAACAAAGTTATATTGGATTATAATGATACTTATATACATGTTGGTTGAGAAATATCAATAAATCAGGAACAAAGTTATATTGG